TCCCGCCCAACTTGGTGTCATCTGCAATGAGCAGCCAAAACCTGGGAAATGGGCATAGTATCTAGCCATGAACTCCAGCGGCTCCCTGTAGTCTAACCTCATCTTCTCCCCTGCCAGCAATGTCCTCCTCAAGGGATAGTTGAGGCTTTTTCCTGAGAAGTGATAAGTTCTTCCTCCCCCACCTTATTTGTCCACAAGTCTCTCCAAGACACCCTGTTCCCTGCCCCAGTGACACCACTAAGCTCTTCAGGATTCAGATCTCAAGGCAAAAGCATGGCAAAGAATCCAAATATTTACCTCTGGTGTCTCTCCTGCCTCCAAGTATGCAGCAGTGATGTAGGCAGCCAAGGGGACTTCCCCATCCACACCTCCCTACAAAAAGCATAAACATCCAAAAAGCTGGGAAAGTTAATACACAAAGACCTGAAGCTTTTCAGTAAAGGTCCCACCTATCCCTGGCTTGTTCCCACACAAGAAAGCAGAACAATACAGGGAAGTGAACTAAACAATTACCAGTACTCTTGGCAAGAACTGCTTTGAGTTGTCCTTCAAGGTGCTCTGACTCTTACCTTCATGGCTGCGTGGAAAAGTTGGCCCACATTTCTAAAGCAACCGTTGGGAAGCTGGTGGAACTCCAGCCAGGTGAGAGCAGCTTGGATGGTCCTGTTGTCCAGGAAAATGTATGGTTTGGCTTGGACAAAGCATTTAACCACAAATGCAGTCAGCCTGGTTGGGGAGAGAACAGAAAAAAAGGCATGAGAGCAGGAGGAGAGAAGCAGAAATACATGGAGTGAATGAGAGAGAGGGAAGGAATGGAAAGAAATAATCTAAGCAGAAGTTGAGGAAGAAGAAAACAAGTGGGAGTTTGAAACTGGTGGGTCTCTCCTCACCTATTGTTCTGCTATTCCTTATTTGCTGGTCCAAGGACAGTTGCATACCCCTGAGATGCCCTAGCCCCTCCAATGCGTCTGGAACACTTTGGGTCCAATAGGACAGAAAGGATTCAATGTTGGAAGCAGAAAGCTGCCCACCTCCAGGCTGTCAGACAGCAGGTAGACAGCAGGGAGAGAGCCCAGGGCTTACCAAGTGTTACCATACTCATCCTTGGTACCAAATTCACTGTAGGAACCATCAGAGTGTTGATACTGGAGCTGTATCTGGTACCCTGGGAAGCAGGATAGGACATTGGTGCTCAGAATGGTATTTGCAGTGAGATCACTGGGCAGGGAATGGGGTGGTGTTAACATTGTAAGTGGTTGAGTGCTCTGGAGGGAAGGGGAGTAGGCAACCATCGGTAGGTTGGACACAGGGGAAGGCAGAGGAGCAAGGTGGGTCTGTTGTACTTGCCATTGCGCAGGAATCCTGTTGCCCTCTCCTTGATCTCAGGGGTCAGCTGCCTCGTCTTCTCCAAGTACTGCAGCACATAGACAATGGGGGCAAACAGCACCATGTTCTGCTCCCCACAGCCGTGGGGCATCTGCACTAGGTGGTCCAGGTTCTGCAGTGCTGTCCCCATGAGGTCACCTGGAACAGAGCATAGGCATCCTGACCACTTCCTAGACAGGAGGTCTGGGGATTCACCTCCTCCTACCTGTGACCTGTTCCCAGCAGTGCACCAGGCAAGATAGCCCCAGCACAGCAGTATAGGGGCACCTCTGTCCAGCCAGCTTATCAGTTCCACTGTGCCCTCCATATGGGCTGTATACATTTCCATCCTGGCAGGGGAAGCCCATAAACAGAACACCCTCTCCCTTGCTGAGTGTTTTAGGTTATCTGGAACCAGGAAACACAGCCACACACATGGGAAGTACAAGGCAGTGGAGCCTCGGAAACCTCATAAAGGGTGTCGAGGGTTCTGGGTTTGGGCTTTCCTAGGGCTAAACTCAGAGATATGGGATTTGGAAAGGTATTATCATAGCTGAATTCCTTACCGGTGACCGAGACGGTGGCTCTGACTGAACCTTCAACGACATTTAGAGGCAACATCAGGGACACAGACTCCTGTGCTGGATTCCCTGACCCCAGCGGGGTAAGGTGTGTGGGGAGGACAAAAAGAAAGAGATTCTGATGAAAACAGCCTTCAAAATCCCCAGAGACTGTTTGAGACTGTTCTGTGCTCACATCCCATCTTCCTGTCACAGAGGCTGCAGATCACCTCAAAAACCAAAAACCCTGTTCCATTCCACCCTCAACTCCTTCCATCAACCTTATTGTGACTGCGTTATCCTAACAGCCTTCCTTCTAAAGAGGTTGAGCAGATCTTCTCCTGGAAACCCTCTGTGGTCAAAGCCACCTTCCTGTTTTTCTTTACATAAGTTACTCCATCTTGTTTCAGATTTCAGTTGCAGGTATGTCTTCTCTTTGCACCTCATGCTCTTAAAATCTGCTAACGGCCCTGTCATACACCATAAAATTCAAGACAGGAGCAGCAATCCTAAGTCATGTCCTCCAGCCTCACCATGTTCAGTAGTCTGGTTTTATTACCACAGGTGAAAAAGGCCTCAAGCTATCACATTAGTGTCAGGGATGTTGATGCTAAAAGACTGGACCTCTCCCCATCCTTACCCAGAGGAAGCTCAAGCTGGCACCACAATTAGACTGTGCTTCTGTAGCTTGGTCGTGACAGAGAAAATATTTCGACAAGTGGAAAGACCCAGTAGGTGGTTAGGCAGGAAGGCGGGGATGAGCAGGGTGAAAGAAGAAGACAATCTCTCTACCTTTTTTGGGACACAGGATGGAGCTGTGAGCCTTTTCTACCAACACTCCCTCTGGCTGTTGGAGCACATAAAAATAGCATTATAATGAGCACACAGGAGAGAAACAGGATTACAAGTGGATTAGAAATAGATATGGACAAAATCCTGGTTCAGGCTGGAGAGTCAGCTGGAGTAACATCATTATCACATAAAAATGTAAATTATTGTCAATCATTTTCATTTCAGATAAGAAAACAGCACGCATTTTCAGAATATCATAACTTCTGAATGTCTGTGAAACTGATGCAGTAAGATTCATCAGAGAGCTCAGGAGCGTGGACATAAAAGAGTGTACATATTTAAAGTTTTCCATGGTATGAAGTGGAGGATACCTCTCTACCTCCCACATCCATCAGCCCTCATGGCTGGGCCCAGCTCAGGCCCTGAGATTTTAATTACACACCTTTAATAGCAAGGGATAACTCCCAAAATTAATCTGCACAAAATCTGGGAATTGCACAAAGCCCACTTTTAGGTCTAGGTAACAGAAGAGCTCGTCTGACCCGGACTAGAAGGATTTTGGTGATCGTGTCTTTCTGTCCTTGGTTTGGGACAAATGGTATCTCTTCGCCACAGAGCTCTTCGGTGGCCACAGCCTCTGTGCTGAGGGTGATGTTTATGAGCCCTGAAAATAACACACATTTAGGTGCGTAAAACATCTTCTGAGGAAGCACTTCCCATTAATACAATAGAAGTCACCTGTTGACAACAAAAAATTGGATCAGAGCCCTATATGATTCTGTACCTCCTAGCACAGACTTGCGAGTAATCATGACCTTAGGATGAATGCAAGTACTCTCCGGTTAACAGGGCAAACAATGCCTCACTCCATGTCAGCTTTTACAAAACATCCCCACCTTGGTCCCATCCCTTCCCAATTCCACCACCCCACCTCCCTGTTCTTCTCACCCAGTTGCTCAGCTGTGACGTTCCACTGAAAGGTCTTAGCTTCATTGGCACATAAGCAGCTGCTGTAGACACAACCTTTGCATGGCTTCAGCTGGAAGTGTGTGAACTCCTCCAGGGTCACTTGGATCTGAAGGGGCAGCAGGGATGGCAGGTGGTAATAACATAAACATCACAGGCCATAGATTTCAGCCATCTCCTGCCTACCCATACCCTGCGTTTCTTGCAGAGCCTATTAGGGCTCACCTACCTTCATGCATTGCTGCAGGTAGTTGAAGACTGTGGCCTTCAATATGAAGGTCTCACCCTGGATCACAGAAGATGGCAGTGTGAACTCCACAAGAAAGGGCTTGAAAACAAGTAGACTGGAGGTTGGAGCAAGTCCAAAGCCATTATGTCCTGTGCAGAACATCCCTGCTTTCCATTCTGTGATGGTGTTAGGCACAGTGACAGTGACATTCTTGTTCCCACTGGGACTGAGGAGAAGTAGACAGTAACAGAAGCATTTAACTAGATCTTACTGTACGCAGCACCAGGTGACCCGCGCCATTCTCTCTAGTGCACCCCGTCCCCTAACCTCAGTCTAACCCCTAACTTCTGCTGAACTTATAGCCCTTGTAGGGTTACAAGTAGGTCCTTGTAGAAGTAGGGACCCCTGCCTCAGATGCTTATATCAAGAGAACATTTTTGACATGGCTGCAAGATGCCATCAATCACACTCAGTGCTTTTCTCAGACAATGCTTGCCATTTGCACATCTAAAAATGCTTTACAGATGTCAGCAGTTTTATTCTTCTTGGCCTAGGGACGGAGAACCAGACACCAGAAGAGCAACAAGACTGGCTCAACATCAGTAGAACTTAGCAGAAGAGACAGATCTTCCTGTGAGACACTGACAGCTTCAAATTCAACACAAAGACAGGGCAGAGACTTGGCTTGTGCCCACATCACAACTTCTGAGAGCAGCAGACTGTTCTGTGGCTGCTACCACAGCAGACATAAAAACAGCCCTAGCTAAAGCTAATGATATTCTTTGACTGCAGTAACTGGAGACATTCACTTTCGCCAGGCACGTACAGGAAGGCAACACATACAACATAGAGGCCTTTGGTTGCTCAGATCAGGCTGGTGGGTAAATCACATGGGAGATATCTGCTGCTAGGGAGTGAAGAGATGGATGCAGCTGGAAGGACAGTGAAGGTGGGAGAGGGCAGATATGGGGACATCTGGCCTGAGCAGACTCCAGTCTCCAGACACCAGACAAGAAATTCTTAAAGTCAGAGATGAAAAATCTCCAAAAGCTCCCTCAGCAGACCCTGTGTACTCACTGAGCCTTTCTGACAGGACACAACTCCCAGTCCTGTGAAGGACTTCTCTGGAGATCAGCTTCCCCTGCATCCCAGGATATATCCTGTGAGCACAGTTTGGAAAATGCCAGCCCACGGGGCTACCACAAGCAGAGTGCAGGCAGTAAACCAAGCTGTTTTGCTGCACCGCACCTCCTTTCCTATCTTCCTATGCCAGCCACCTCCCATGGATGCACAATACTTCTGTATGATCTAGTACCAAAAAACACATTCAATGCAGATAACAGCTCTGATGAGAAATGGCCTGACAGGTATAAGCCCCATGCCATATGTCCTTAGATGTCTTCCTCAGCAGCTTGTGATCTAAACCCAGTTGTATCTGCTGCCATTCCCGGTCACACTAAGCCACCCAGACTAGACCCCCACTGCTCAGTTTACTCACCCCACAGAATACAAATCCCATATCCAGGTTTTGGGGAAATGCTTGTGTACTTTCTCTTCAGGTGAAGAAACAGGTGAAAACATAGTGGGCTGATAGGTAGATGTTGTCAGATGCTCTGCTGGAAAAAACAAAGACCCAGTCACTACAGGGTCCTTAGGCCCTGGTTTAGAGCAGAGGGGCTCCAGCCCAGCTTAGGCTGCAGGTCATCCAGTCAGCTCTTGGGAAGCGCTGCACTGGAACAGAAGGTGCTCTCCCAAATTTTAAAATCTCTTTCCTCATTTTAAACAATGGAAGTGCTATGGGCCTTACTTGCATTTGTAGGCACCAAGGGAAGGGCAACCATTTCCTCACCTCAGAGGTGAGACACGGGATCCAGACAGCTCACTAACATTTCAGAGCCAGAAGCCATGAGCCCCAGGCAGCCTCATGTTAGCACAACAGGTTTAGAACCAGGAAACACTCTCGCTCCTCCATTTCCAATTACAGCAAGTACTGCCTCTTAGCTCAAACCTAGGATTGCTTTCACGTGGAAGACTGAGCATCCCATGTAAGAAGAAGCAGTTGGCAAATGCTTACTGTTATATGCTTTATGGGGCTGGGCAAATATCAACATGGGGCTGGAAGAAAACATTGCTGTTTCCTGCAGCATAGTTGTCGATGGAGTGGTTGGGCATACTCTGGGTTTCCTGATATTAGTGTTGGACATAATTTTCAACCCCATTTCCTGTAGAAAAAAAAAACAAACTGATGCACCAGAAGCTTGTCCTCTCCTCTCTGCCCTCTACTCTGTGCCTTCTTGTCCCCTCACGCAGTGGGGACTTGGCTGTCCTCTGGCTTGGCAAAGTATTCTCTTGCTTCATTTTAAGAGGGACTTATTCAGATCCTCAGCAATGGGCAAACAAGGTCTTCTGAGCTAATTCATCTGGCCTGAGTCAACCAAATTTATTCTTTTTCAAACACATGGTCATTTAGGTAGTATGCCTTCTCAGCCTGCAGAGTGCAATTGCTCATGCTATGCAGATTAAACATACTATTTGATATCCAATTAAAGTAACCAATCATCATTGGCATCCTGAATCACACAACCAAAGTGCAGTAACCACACAACGATTTCTTCTTGGTCAACAATTTCAAGTCACTTATTCAAATAACAAGTGAGTTACAAGGGCCTAAGCTGGGCCTGTTCCCTGTACTGTCTGTAACAGTAAAGTGAGGGGGGCCACACTTCCCTCAATTGACGGATTATGCCAACCCACCAAATCAACCATTTTTACCCTGAATGTTGTAAACACATCAGGCTCATCAGAATTTGGGAGCCCGCAGGAATGATCATCTTCAGACACTTGGCGAGGATACCTGGAGTTATAAACAGATGGGAACAGCCCATAGATCTGGGAAAACAAGCAAAAAAAAAAAAAAAATCAGCACAAATAAAACCTGGCATTCCCTTCCTGTCATACATCCAAGGCCTGTTTGAATTGCTCCTGGCCACTGTGCATGAATGCATGCCAGAAAGCCCAGGCTCACTGTCACTCTTCCCTGGCTCTCCTCTGATAGAGCCAGCACAACCCGCTGAACGGAACATGAGACAGAACAACAGAAGCTCATTTAGCACCGGTGCACTGAGTGATGTTTGAACCTATTTCTTAACGCACGCCCCCTAATCCTCACCCCTGCCACACCGAGAGCGCTGCTGACCCTTCTGGGCAGTGCTTTGAGTTCCCTGGGAGATAAGCTCTGCACAGATGCAGTGGCCGGCCGGCCGGCCGGCCAGCCTGCCTGCCTGCCTCCCTCCCTCTTCATGTCAGCACAAGGGAAGGGAAGAAGCTGGGGCAGGCTCACTCACCAAGGAGCTGCCGAGCTCTTTTCCTGGCTTCAGCAAAAGGACGCTCTTATCCACAGCCCAGACAGCACACGTGGACCCAGGAGCTGCCAGCAGGTGGAGACCAACCTCGGAATCAGGAAGGGTCTTGGCCGTTGAGAAGCCCAGCTCCACCTGGGTGGGAAGAATGCAGGCAATAGGTGAGTGACATTGCTGCTGCTGGCCTCCCTACCACTGCCTGAGCAGGGAAAGGATCTACATGAAGAGGGTTTCCAAGGACTTGCCTTGGATGGAAACCTGAGGAATCTCCCAGAAGGTATTTAAAAAAACATCACGTTGAGGTTCTAACAGGACAGATAGCAGAGGGGGAACCATCAGTGTTCGCAGCTCACAGTACTGGCGACATTCCTGTACCAGAACGCAGCACTCTCTTTACCCAGCAAACCCGCCAGCCATGATCACACACCTCACACAGCTGTCTTTCTGCTCCTTTTGGAGCCCCAGATCAAAAATAAGCCTCGTCCTTATCTCCAGGCTCTTTGTGGGGTTGGTCTCAGTTTCCTGAAGCACTTCCTGTTCTTGCTTGAATCTGACTGCCCATGGCAGATAAACAGCTGTGGAGCAGGGGTAATGCCAGTCCTCAGAAGTTCATCTTTGGAGTGCAAGACACAGCTAAGAAAGCAGATTCCCATGGATGTCAAGATGACCACAAGCGCTCAGCCCCTTCTGGGTGGCCAGTAAAATCCACTTCTTCCTTTGGCCACTTTCAGCTCTTTTCCCAACACCACATACTAACAAGTTTAAGTGTCTGCTGCAGCAGCAGAGCAGCCTTGAGCTCTCCTGGGAATCACACTAATAACCTGTGCTGGGCTGTGATCCTTCTGGATTGCAGTTGCTATACAAGCCTATGGAGATAGACATAGCAATTCTCTGCCTTTCCCAAACATTGCAGCAGCCCCCACAATGCTCAGCACGTATTTGCTCCATACATCACAGCACACTTCACCGTCCACATACTGCAGTTCATGTGACAGCATCCCACACAGTATCAGCCACACACAGCTACACATATTATGTATTCCTCAGTCTCTTCTTTCATTGCAGCAGACACACACACTCTCACACATTTAGTCATGGCCTCAGACACAAATCCTACCTTATTTCTGAAACACGTGGAGACACTGAAGATGGCAGAATCAGCAATGATTTTTCCATTAGGGAAGATAACATAAACAACAAGTCTTGGAGCTGGGGCATAGATCAAGCTGAAGGTAAGAGGGATGGAGAAGAAGCCTTTCAGCACTAGATGGAGGAGAGAAAGAAGAAGAGAAAGTAGATTTGGTAGTGAAAATGGACTCTGATCAGCTTTTACCATTCCGCATGTGCCTGTTTAATTCCTTTCCTCAAGTCTTTCAGAACCAAAGAGATTTCTGGAGACCACTGAAACAATCAGGACATCTCTGCATCTGGTATTCAAGACCAGCAAAAGATTTTTCCTGGTTCTGTTCATTGCCTCAAGGAGATGAAACAGCTCTTTGGAGTTCAAGTTTAGCTCCACAAAGAGTGAGATTCTCAGATATCTTTCAAAGCCTCCCATCCCATCACCAACAAAGAGGTGACCTTTGTCCCAAAGCACCTATAATTTAGGCTTTAAAAAAACAGAGCTGGAGAAGTAGACAACAGTGAGTCAACACCCATCAAAATGATAAGCTGTGGCATCATAACTACTCAAAGATTATTTTTAGACACAATTGCAAATTAAAGCAGGAGAGTTTTGATAGAGGGTAAGGCTATAGTTTCATGCCGCTTGCATTGCAGCAAAAAGGAGGCTTCTTTGAAAATGAGAAAAACAGAGGATGAGCCTATGGGCTGGGAAATGCTGAGTATTGTTCTCTCCGTACCAAGCAGGAGGGTAAAGGAAACATGAAAGCTGGAAAGGCACGCTGCTCTGATGCAACAGAAAAGTGGTGAGCCAGCTCTAAATTGCAAAGAGGTTTATGCCACATAATACAAATAAGACAGGATGCCACAGACCACTGAGCGCTTGCTAGACATGAAACAGGGGAGTGCACTTACTTCTTGGCAGCCCAACCCAAACAGTCTTCTGACCTGCATGGACTATCCCTCTTTTCCCTGTGACCTAGGAAAGAATGCAGAAAGGGAAGGGAATGCCAGTTACATAGTCTTTGAGACCACTGTGCAGATCAAAGTAACCCTGAAATTGGAGATTAAATGGGGGCGGTGGGAGGGATATGAGCTTTACTCGCTCTCAGGTAGCAGGGAGAGTTCAGGGGATCAAGAGACTTGGGGGAGGACAGGTGAAGCCAATACCTGCCCTGCACCAGCGCAGAGCCCAAAAGAAAGGTGCTGCTTTTCTTGCTATTACTGCAGCCCCAGGATCGAAACCAGGATCCAGCCCCATGATGGCTGGATGAGCTACCTGTCCAGGGCTGAGCCAAATCTATCAAATAACAGGCTTGAATCTGTAGGAGATGCTGATCTTGAGCCTTGAGCCATCACCCACTAGCACTTCCTCAGAAACTCACAAAGTAGGAGAAAATGACACGCTTGGGCCCATGTTCCAGGTCCTCCTGGTAAATTCTGAAGTCCACCTTGATAGCCTGCTTTTTACCACACGGCATCGTTTCTGGCACACGGACAATAGAGAGAAAACTCCTGCTGGTGCTGTAGAATGGACGTATGAGATGAGAAGCTCGCTGGTAACTCAAATCAACTGTTCCAGGCTCTTTATCCAAATCTTGATGCAGGACACTTGCCTGGTGAGACAAAAGAAAAAAAACACAGTTAATTTCTCTAGTTAAGCAAGTCAGCTGCAAATCACCCTAGCTGCGGCTTGGTAAGAAGCTCAGATTGTGTCTGAGCAACACCATAGCACAGGTCTCTGTATGGAAAGTTCATGAGGAAAGCAACTAGGAACCTGATAAGAAGCTCTCAGAGGGAGCCAAGATTCAGAACATGCTGAGGTGTTTCAGGTTTGAATTACTGTCCTTCAAGAAGGAGCGGGGGAGATGTCTGTGAGGCAGTAAATAGCTCTGAGATGCATGCGTACCTCTGCCAACAAGACAGACCCTTCCTCACTTACCTCCAGGGAAGCCGAGGTGCTGTTCCAAGCAGTCGTGTTCAGGCTAAATGAAGCTGTCCCAGAGACCCCAGTGATGTACTTCTGCTTAAACTGCTGCTCACCGCAGCTTACTACAAGGAGGACTTTTCTGTGCTTCAGTGCCTTGCCTTGGTAGTCAATGACTTTAATCTGAGAACACCATGGTGAGCAAGAGAAGTGCAGAAGAGTCTAATCAGAGGACAGAATCTCCTGCTTCTCCAAGTCAGGAGCAGCATTTCCAAAGACAGCAAGGTCACCCTTCCAATCACTAACAATATTATCAACACTGCTACTGGTCACCTCTTATTATCACTTGCACTACTGTGTTCATTCACCCCCATGCTCTCTGCCCCTTCACAGCAGAAGTCCTCCCGGCTGCTGAAATTCCAAATGTTTGGGTTTACACCCCACATATGGATCCCCATCGCTGCTACTACTCAAGGCTTATTTGGCAAATGGCAGTCTTGGGTTGTTTCCTCTCTTTCGACAATTCAAGAGTTTTGCCTCTGGGAGTCATTCGTGCCCTCCCAAGCCCCTGGCTGGAGGTGAGGTCGGACAAGACAGTAGGTAACAGTCGCTGTGAAGGCATTGCTCACGCTCTCCCCTCCAAAGGACTGTAACTGGGATTTACCTTCCCCCTGTACATCTCTCCAGTGTGGTAGTAAGAATTCACATCATCAAACAAGGCCATCCCGCCAATCTTGGAGATGAGTAATTTGTGGGAAGCATTGACGTGTATCTCTGAATGAAAACAGCAAGACAGAAACATGAGGGAGGGAGCAAGGAAGCCAAGCAGTCCTCAGCCATTTCTCTGCAGAGTGACTCACTGGTAATACTGATGCACATGTTCAGCTGCACACACATTTCATGCCAGGGAGATGATCTGCCCAGGGCTCTGGGTATCTTAGTCTTCCTCCCACTTACTTCTAGCCCCTAGAGAGGTTCCTGAGCTTCACCATCTGAGACTGCAGGCACTCAGAGTGAGTGTGTCATGCTGTCAGGAACGGGTGGCTCTGTCCGTATCTATCTGTGAGGTTAGATGGCAGGCCTCGACGGCCTCAGAAAGCTCAGAGCCCTTGCTAGCCTGAAAGTCTCCAGTGTTCTTGGTAAGATTAGTGCATCTTCACATGCCTCTTCCCAGCCACCAGAGATATTTCCAGAGTTACCTGTGCCATCCTCCACCAGCGAGGCCTCTGCAACTATGCTGTCCTGATAGTACTGAAAGTCTCGACTGAAGGAGGACAGACTCACATTTGTGAAGAAGCAACCCATCTCATCTGTCTGAAAGTACAGAGAGAGAAAACAGGGTCTGAGCAAGGCATTTAGGTTAGAAGTTACCCAAATAGCACAGAAACAGCAGGGCAAAATCCCTGCTCTCAGGGAACTTGCCTTTTGACATAGCAGTCCAGGATGTGGAGCAGGTACATGATGCACACCCAGTCATAGTCACCAGGCACAGTTACTAAGAGGCAGCACCAGTAGACCACTGGCCAAGCAGCCAAACCCACAGGGTAACATCACTTATTTCGGCTAATGCCTCCAACAGCCTTGCCTTACCCTAGGGCTGAGCACAAATGTCTCTGAATACGACTCAGCTCACGCTAAGCATCTCACCTGGTTGTTGAATTCCTGACAGAGATCAGGTTTCGAAGCACTGGGCAGGAGCAGGGCTATCTTCTGACAAAGGCTCACATGAACCATCCCCTGCACGCCTCTCCCATAGGTGTATCTGTTTGGGGGAGCAGGGAAAGGAGAAGACAGTCACACACAGTGAGAGAACACAGGGCTTGCTTTGCATAGCCCCAGAGATCACTTATTCACAGATATTCACAATATAGCACAAGAATGGCAGCCGTACAGCAGGCCCAGGAGCCCTGACCCAGTAAGCAGTCAGGCTAGAGCACTGCGGTGATGGGACATCAGGGGCTCTGTGATATAATTAGTGCCAAACTAATCTATTCTGGGAAACCAGCGTGTTGTAGGTGCTGACTCAGCACAGAGCTCTGCACTTTACATCAGCATCACCTGCAATAACCCCAGGATATGCTGAAGGCATGCATCATCTTATGAGCAGAAGCATGGGTGATTAAGAAAGTGCCTTTCATTAAGAAAGCACCTTTACATGAGGCTGTTAACCTTAGCGTTGTCCTTGGACTGTACCTGGGGCAATTCCTTTTTGCCTCTCTCTAGTCTCACGCTAGAGCATAATCTGGAAAAGCCTCCCTTCATTTCCCATGAGTTTGTTCTGCAGGGAGATGAACACCAAACATCTGCCATGTTCTGCCCCACAAATGGCTGCTTGTCAAAGGGTAGGTTGTTCCCCCAGGTAGGTTCTCCCCTTTCCCCCCAGAGACTCGTAGAGAGTTTTTAGAAAAGGGGCACTAGAGTACCAGAAGGATAGTTATAGGAATGTTCTGTGTTGTATCAGGGTGCCATGGAAGATTCTGGCCTCCTGTAACTGAAGTGTAGTAAATTTCCCCTGAGCTCCTCATGGTTACCTAGCCACCTTGTGCTCATCAGGCCAGAAATTAACACAGGGCCATCCCTCCAAGCAGCATCCTCACCTGCCACAGATCCGGAGTGGGAAGGTTTTATCTAGTGCATAAACCTGATTTGGCACCTCAAAGATCACTTCAAATTTTGGCAGCACTGGAATGAAAAAACAGAGAACTGTAGGAAACGCTGGCGAGGGACAGCCTTTGCAGAGAATCAACATGAAGATAGACTATGGTAGAATAAGAGCCAGGAAATGGAGAAGAAGGTGGTGAGAAGGGAAAAGGGAAGATTTCCATTGTTTCTTTAACAGATTTGTGTGTAGTCCCTGGTTGATTGCTCCTTCCCAAACTAAAACCCAAACATGTCCATGTCCCTGCACTTCTGACACTATTTGCACTGAGAGAAGACTAGCCTCCCAGCACAGTTAATTAGGGGATGAAAGAGAAGTGGGATGGCACTGGACTTCTACTCTCTGGAAAAGCCCATCCTAAATGACCTTGTTTTGTCTGATGCAGAGATTTGCAGTAATCAGCTGTGTCAAAAGTCTAGGGCCATGCACAACATTCCTCCCACACGCTGACCCAAGGTCCCAAAGTGGTCTCTCCCCTGAGCCTCAGCTCAGACTCTTTTCTGTGACAGACGCAATTAATTTTCCCATTTGCTCTCAGGATGGTTATCATGGAATAAACACCCAGCTTCCTGGATCAAGAGTGCAGGGTCCTCTCTGCAGCTCAGACATATCCCACACTTGCTCATACCATACTCTTCAACGGAGAAGCTGCCGTGCGCTTTCGCATTGGTTACGTTGATGACGTATGTCCCCAGCAGAGGCTCATCACTTAGCTGGAAAGACAGATCTGCAATGCCGTCTTGGGGGACCACATTCAGCCATTGCTCTATCCGGTTGTTCTTAGGGTCCTACACCCACAAGAAAAGAAGAAACAGTTGTTCCAGCATCTCACTGATCCACACCCCACAGAAATCAAGCTTCAGGATTTCAGTGTTGCAGACTACCAGGTTCTATAGCTGAGGAATGAGGTTTGGCACAGACTAGTCAAGAAATTTTTAAGACGATATAATGCTCAGATTCTGCTCCCAGCATCTGAGTCTCCTTCTACACTTATCTAAATTCTGATCTCAAGGAAAGATCCTTCACAGTTCTAACTTTTTCACAGGTCTAAGTTGATCTGTCTATACTCTTGCAAGTCAAGAACAAGTCAGATTTCTACTGAAGTAACTGGGAGCATAACCTCAAGAAAGTGCATAAAAAAGAAGCTGTAAGGAGTGTGTCAGTTTAAGAAATCTTGAAGTTCTACTATTCCACTCAGAGGTCTGTAAAATCTACCAGAAACTGAATATGAATAGCCCAGTGAAATGGCTGCCATCAACATTACTGTAACGTTAGATTTCAGCATCACTTACCTGGAGAAACAGAGAAATCTGGAGGGGAAAAAGGCAAAAATATTAGAAGACAGAAACACATGCCAGCAACACACACAAGGTACTTCAGATGCAGAGCCCTCTCTGAAGGATGTGCAACTAGCGATTTGGAAATTTAGAGTGCTGACAACAATATAAAGTAAAACAAATGTCACCAAAAAGGACAAATACCGGATGGGTCCATTACAGTAAGGTCTGGAGAAAGCGAAAGGAAAAGCCCATCTGGAGGTCACCCAGCAGTTGCTGATGATTTCCTGGCAGAGTCCTCCATCAGGAAAACTCACTACCCAAACAGACCTAGCTCTGGCTCAGCTGCAGTCTTAAGTCTTAAAGGGGTTACAGAGGTATAGGATCACATAGTTTGGAAGGAACCTCTGGAGGTCATCTAGTCCAACACCCTGCTGAAGCATGTCTTCTTAGAGCAGATTGCTCATAGCATTCTCCAGCTGAGTTTTGAACACCTCCAAGGATGAAAATGCCTTCTCTGGGCACCTGTTTCAATATCTGATCACCATTGCAATGAAAAATTTTGTCCTAATGTCTAATCAGAATTTCCCATGTTCCAACTTGTAGGAGGCAGATTAGCAGCACCCCTCCCCACCACACGTCCAGGAAAACCTGACTTGCAAACTATTCATATGACACCGTCACATCAGGAATCAGTATGTCCCATGCTTATGCTTGCATGACCATTTACCAAGACGAGCAAGAGACATGTACACCTCTGCCATCTTTCTGAGTTACCAGCTTTTACTTGAGTTACTATTCTCCTCCGGACACTCATCAAGCCTGGCCCAGGGACGAATGTGGAAAAGTTGGAGCTTTGGCAGATGAGCAGGGTAGAAATGAAGTAGGATCCACGCATGGAACAAGGCAGCCTTCTCCACAGCCCCCCACGTCTGGCTTACCGAATTGCTGAGTGCAATGAATTCCTCATCCAGAGTCACAATGCGAAAGTTCACTGAAGGCAAGGAAATCAGGGAATATATTTATCAGATCTCAGTACTTCCCTACAGACCCCTGCTCTATCTGTTTCCCCAGCTCCTGTCTCCATTCTATACACATTTGTGATAACATCTGACACGGACGTTCCCACGTGTAAGATACCACGGACAATGACCTACTGCCTCCTGCAACGTCACAGTCACCACAAGCTGGACATTACAGCCGCTGGAAACATCACATCAACAAGAGACATTGTCTCAAAGCTTTCTGCTAGGGCTGTCCATGAATTTCAGGCAATCGCAGGCTTTCCATATGGTGTTACCAGAAGAAAGCCTAGGGCCCATGGTTGCTCCCATTTGCAGTTCTCACCTGTCTCCCCTGGTTGATAGATGGGCTTGTCTGTTTGGATGAAAGTGCCGCTGCTGGCCTTGTGGATCAGGACCTTTTTCTTCTCCTCAACACTGACCCCTTCGCCTGTGATGATCAGTTTGACAGTGGCAATCTCCTCTGTGCCATCAGCTGGAGGTGTGACCTATACAGACAGAGAGAGGAGAGCACGCAGCCCCCAGGTAATCTTCTGGGGGCCCTGAGCTGGAATTGAGAGTAAAGTGGAAGAACTAACCAGTTCCCCTCCACCTGTCCCAGGACATCCCCTCCAATATCTGGATCCAGATCACATCCAGTTCTCCCTCCATCCTACATGACAGTAGGAGGCCCTGCATGTCATAGAATCTGTCCTTTTTCCCCACTGGTTAAGGAATTTTGCCTCTGGTGACAAGCAGGTGCCTCACACCTCTGAGTCTTAAGACTTGGTCAGGAAGATGGGCAGATGCCAGAAAGGTGGGAGATGGTAGCAGAGAATCAAAGGAGAGACATCAAGCTGTAGCACAGCCTCAAATGCTAGGCTTTCAGAACTACCCAGCACGTACAATTAAGAAAGGCAGATTAGCAAAGACAACCAGAGGGTCTTCCTAGCTCCAGCAGCCAAAGACCCCAGCAGCCTCAGCACAGAATATACTGTATAATAGAAGGGATACTGTTTAGGCATGTCTGCCTTATCCTAGATCTTTCCTAAATTCTCACCAACAATGAATCAGCTCTAAGATGCTGTTTAAAAATAACAAGCACATCCACTTCCATCCAACTGCTCTTCAGTAGCTCCTAAGAGCTGAGCCTGACTTCAGGTCCTACAGAAACTGCAGTAGTCATGCAAACCACCATTTCCCCAAGCTTTAGCTGTGGAGCTGTGCAAGTCCTTCAAAGAACAGCTAAAGCTGCTTCATCTGGTCTGGGATGGAAAAGGAGGAAACAGGTGTGTTCTTCTTATGTATCCAGAAGCGTGGTAGATTCTAACAAATGTAACTTCAATTTAAAAATTAAATTCAGAAGGGGAATTCAGTGCTGACCAACAGATACTGTGCTGGGCTACACAACCCTAGGCACCATCCACCCCCCTTCCTAGCAGGCTCACTCCAAGGCAAAGCAGACCCTTTCCATGTCATCCCTTGTTAGGGGGGGATGTACCCTTGTGTGGTAACACAAGGGATTTACAGTTCCTGAAGAGAGAATCAGTGATGGCATTTGCCTAGGGTGGCTCACCCAGAACTTAGTGCACATGAAAGTCTTCTCCTTCTGGATGGTTTCTTGCACTAAGAGCTCACGTCGTGCAGAGCGCTCCAGGACCAGATTCACTTGAAGCTTTGCTTCATAACAGGTAATGTGGAGGCAGGCAACTTGGGTGGATGGGTAGCGGAGATCTGCAGGGATCACCACCAGGTAATGTCTGGGGCAGGAGGAAGAAGACATCAGAGGTCGCGTCAGGTTGAGGGCTCAGAGATGCAAAAGAGCTTCCCCGCAGTGGCCCACTACTGCAGAATTCCTCAGCAATGTGCCATGGCTGCAGTCAATATTCAAAAGCAACAGTGAACCCAGTGAAGAGATTGCTTCACTGGTAACTTGAGAAATAGTTTCTGCTTGATTAGTTCAAGTACAGCCCTATAATCTTTTTCAAACCCCTTACTCCAGTCATCTCCTAAACTCCCCAAAACCATCCCTTGCAGTCTTCAGAAGAAGTGGTCTCATAACCTTGCAGTCTAGACACCAGTGATATGATCTGGCATGGCAACTGGAGAAGCAAACATCCCTGGGCCTCAGGTCTGACTTGGAAGCCCCCCAAAAAGGCAGCTTGTATTTTAACTCACAGGAGTCGATCTAATGCATGGGAGGCAAGGTAAATGACTCAGCTACCCTTTGGTGTGATCTGATAGTGCAGGAAGCAAGAGAGCTGATGGCATGGAATGCAGTCCATCTACCTAGACTGATGCCTTCATGAAAGAGACCAAAACAGAAGTTCAGCATCACTCACAGTTGGTGAAAAGCAGCTGCCATGTGGAACAGAAGGCTCAGGAGGATGGCTATCCTCATCCTGGGGGCTCTTGCTGCCCAATTTCCGATGGCCCTTTTCCTCTGAAATCACTGAGGCTGTTTTTAGGGGGGATAATTTCTTTAGGCACAGCCTAAATGAAGAGGTGGGATGGGGGGAGGAGCCAGCCTTTCCCCACCTCTTCCTCTCTCCTGAGATTATAAGCAGGCAGCAGTAGGGATGGGCGTACTGTGCCAAGTGCCCCTTAGCCAATAGCAGCCACTTTGGCTGCCATCCACCAGTTCAGAACATCCCCTCCTGCAAGGCTGCCATGGAGACATCTGACCAAATGGACATTTCATGGAAAAAAAACCAGCGAGAACTTTGCTGATCAGTGACCCAGGCCAGGTCCTGATCCCTTGCCTCCTGCGTCCCTTTGTTTCAGCATGAGATGGATTGCGGCTGTACAGCCAGCAGCAAGAGCTCACCCCAGCACACAGCAGGCAGAGTTGTCATTCGGGACAGAGGCTCAGTAGCTCTGGATCAGATTAGGGGGATGTGGATCTCCTTAGGCTGTTTGGCTTGAAAATGGGAGCAAATCCTTGCATGCGCATAAGGAAGCACTGTAGCAGCACTACCACCAGCCAGCAACCACTAATGAGCTAACAACTTTGCCTTTTCCTTCACTGCATACAATGAGGGAAATGAAAGTATATACTGGCCAACAGAGGTCTCCACCAGCTCTCCGCAACACCCATTAGCAACGGCATCATCTGCAAGGAGGGGGCCTCAGTAATTGGTTCCGGTTCCTCATTGTTCATGTCTGGGTCTGAAAGGTCTAGGGTACAGGGATACAGCCTTTTGGTTCTGTTTTTGAACCTAGGGTCGGGTTAAAACTCACAAATTAAACGTGTGGGATGTTTCCTAGCACTGATGATGACCTGTACAGAAAGGTACCAGCCTGGCCTCCAGAAAAGCGTGGTCACCATGTAAACTGCCTGTTGTGAGCAGTACACAGATTGCATTAACTCACAAACTACACCTGAAACTTGTGTGAGACAGCATTAGTTAGCCCAGGCTGAAATGTACCAAGGACTGTCCTTATAATACAGACAGCTATGGTTCTGTGCCTGGAAATATTTCCCAGTGCTGTTTAATAGTGCTGATGCAGCCTAAGCTTTACATATCCGGGTCCCAACATGGTGTTACTGAAGCAGGCAGTTGGAATCTCTTTGTCTGGCAAAACCAGATTCCAGGATGCCCAGAAATTTCCAGCTAACTTGGGATCCCTGTTCCCAAGGCTCTCTGTACGCTTTTTCCAGATGGGGTTGGGAAGACTGATCTCCATTTTACCTCTCTCACTGGGCCACTCTAGAATAAGCATGCATCATGGGGGCCATACATTATGCACAGGAGCTGTTAGTGCTAGCATTGCCTTTGTCTCAAGTGAATGTTTCACTGCTCAACGGATTGAGATAACCGGCCAGAGGCCAGATATCCCAACTGATTTCAGAAATCAGCTTTGAGTTGGTCTAAATCAGTGTTAGGCTCCTAGGCAAGGAAGACTGGGCACTTTATTTTGATGAACACATTCTCCCCATTCTTGTCTCTTTGTGAAGGAAGATCATGTTACTGAGAATGGCAGGCGAACTTATAAATTTCTGTCTAAAACCTGAGTTTTTCCTACAGAAAGCACCAGCCAGATCTGTCATAAATCAATAAACCATAGCCAGAGAGGTCCAGCTGCTGGCAAACTTCTGACAGGAGCTGCACCCACCGGGGCCAGCACTGGGGAGATCTCTCTGACCCTGTCCCACTGTGCTCCTCCTACCATGTTTGCCCAGGTGCGTTCTCTATTCCTTGCTTGGCTTCGGCAAACCTGGCTCTTGGGCACAGGAACATACATTTGAAGGACCTGCACTGAAGGCAGTGACTGACAGCTGCACAGGTGTCATAGACCCGAACAAAGTCTCTGAAATAGAGAAAGCATAGCAAGGCTGTGCACAGTTTCTAGTTCTGCAGTTTCTTTCTCTAAATAGACTCCGAGAAGGCCTTTGTGGTAGAAGTGCTAAGCCGAGAGACCGATGGGGAGTAAGGGATCTACCCCTCCTGAAAACACACTGTTCAGCTGAAGCAAAGGACATAGTACATACTGTCAACACAAAACCATATAGATACCTGTTCTCCACAGACAACTTGAATCAAAAATGAAAAGGAAGAAGATGAGACTTAGCAAAGGTCACACCTACGATCATGGAAGACATCTTCCATGGTTCAGAATGAGCACCAGGAGCAATGTCACCTTGGAAATCACTCCAACGTTTTAATATCTTTGAAGAAAACAAAAAGGCAATAGTATCAATGTTCTGTATGAGAAGAGTACTGGGGAAGCACTGATGTCTGCAGAGCACTTGGACAGGAGACTGTGCAGAGAGGAGGAAGTCATCGGTTTCTTTAAAGAATCACATCTGTTAGAGAGCCTGTAGTGCAGAATAATTCATCAAAGCAACCGAGTCATTCTTCATTCTCTTCTAGACACTCATCACCAGCGTCATACAGGCTTAGGGCCTCCTCTGTTGTTGCCTTCTTTCCTTTCCAGTCACAAACTTCATGCTCCTAATCACTGACATTTCCAGTTCGCCTCTTACACACACATACACACACTATATAACTATTGTGTAGCATCTTCAAAGTCAATGAGATTTGTTATCCTTGTGTTCTGATAGTGAAGTATACTTTTGTATTAAGAATATTTCACCGCCTGTGCAGGATTCATAAAAATCTGTGAGGTCATAATGTTTCTGCAACCCAACCAGCATCCATAACATAATGGAATCCCTCGAAAGAATCTCTCCATAATGCCAAGGTAGACTGCTGCACCCACTTTCTGCTGCCTTGACAGTAGAATTTGTCCACTGCACCAAAGCCAAGCAAGGAATTGAGAACACACCTGGACAAACACAGCAGAAGGAGCAGGAACTGACTGGGTCAGAAAGCTTGAAGGCAACATAGTGTAAACTGTTCTATGCCTCTCTCAATGCTTGGCTCCTGCACCAAGATCATTCAAAGAACTGCAAATCTTCTGAAATTTTTGCCCAGAAATGTAGTGCAAGCCTTTAGATTGTAGGCTTTAAATTTGTTAATTGGAATTGAGCTTTGGAGAATTATGGAACTATGCCTGAGGGAGTTTGGAAACCTTCACAAGAAGGTTCTCAAACCATGGGCGAGCCGTGAATCTCTCTCCAAAGAACAGATGTGAACCCTGAAACGTGCAGCTTTGCATACTTTTCACAAAAAGGCACAAATAACTAGTGCAGCTTATTTCTAGCTAACACTCCAAAAATCCACACAACCCATTGAAAGAGCCTATTATCTTCTGAACCTTCTCGGCCCAATACCAAAGCTTTGGTTCTTGCTTCATCTCTCCTACTCACCCCACTGAACTAAGAAAATCTCACCAGCACTCCAGGCATAGTGACTTCTCTGAATCACAACGTCCTGACTTGTAAATTCAAATCTAGCCATCAAGTAGATAAGCACTCATGGAAGTTGAAAACTGCTTACAAGTTGGTAAACTGGCTCAACCAAAACCACAAAGACTTCCAGATCTGAATGCTGTGGCTTACGAATCATCTCCGGTGTTAACAAAGAATCAAAACCCAAACCAGAACCTAGTGGTAAAGTTTGGGGTCCTAGATAAAGCAAGTTCCACCGGAATAGTTGTGGTGAAGCTTCAACTACATGTAATGTATTTGTGGACCCATTTGTCAGGTGTTATGTGAGATTCTTAATTTTGGCAAGGCCACTTACTTTCTCAATTAAGTGGCAACTTTGACTGCACCCAAGGAGCTCCTTCTTGCTGGAAGGACCAAACAAAACTCATTTTGTATGGAAATAGTTCTAGTAAACTGACCTGAGACATTGCAGTAGCTTGGAAGAGCTGATGTTTGTCAAATACCTTGAATACTGCCAGACATGGACAGAAGGCTACACTCAAAGTCAGGATATTTCCTAAAAATCTTGTGACTGTGCCTTTTCCATTTAATGTAGGACTGAGCATACAACTGGAGATGAACCATGCAGCAAGTGAACTATGCAGCCCACTGTTACTGAACCACAGGCTCAGAAGTTTAAAATTAAAAGGCATGTGGAAGAAGCGTCAATGTAAAACAGATATTCAGTGTTAGACACAATTCACAGTGCTGCTCTATCTGCACCAGGTATTTTGATGACACACATACACATATGCCAGGTGCACAGGCGTGCCATCTTTCTGGAGGCCGCATGAAGAAAGGGACAGGGAAGATTTCATCCTTTTGAGGAAAGGTATCAGAGATTTTTCTTCTTCCTCTGGCAATCTCATCTGTCCCTTCTCTTGCTTCCCTCCCTCTCCTCTGCTATCTTCTTTGGGTAGCCTTCCTTTGCTGAGCTGTGAAGGATAGGACACAGTGAGCAGTTGGCCAGTTCATAGATGAGCAGAGCCACAGTCCCCGGGCACTTAGAGGGAGAGGAGCTGCCACACAGGGTAGTTCCCTTCCTGGACACTGGTGTGCTCAGTCAGGGGGAGAGTGTCTGTTTAACAAAGCTCTTTTCTCCTTCTCTAAGCTTATTCTTCTCCCACCCCACAGCTCTCCTGTGATTCTATCTCCTTGTTTTACTGCACATAGAGAAGGTGAAAATATTTGCTCCCTACAGCAGAGACACCAGCTATGCCATCCAGCATCAAGCAGAGATGACAGTTTGAAGGAAGGTGCGATAGCTATCAAGGGGCCTATCTGCTAAATACCAGGAAGACTTCAGGGACACTAAAGGTAGTTCTAAAATTTCTGCCTCTGTACCCAGTCTGAGGACATGTTACACCACACAGTGTTATGGGGCTGAGCTAGGTGGAGTACTCACCTCGCTGTTTAAATAGCTGTGGGACACATTACAGCAATTAAGCATATTTGTATTCCATAGGAAGCGATGAGATGATTTACACTGTAACATACGTTGTTCTGGCTATGTGTGCAGAAAGGTGGGCAACGTCTGGATCTCATGCTGTGGTTCCACCAGCCAGGAA